AGCCATTACTGACAGGTTACTATCCATATGCCTAGAAGGAAGATCAGTCAGTACAACTATTATTAAATGAACACACCAGTCACAAGTCCAAAATAAGAAATTGAGGATTTTTTCAGACTATTACTGTCTGAAATGAATCAAACATAGAAGATGCATTAATAATTACCTCTGATTGTAATGCAAAAAGTCAAACCCATTTGCCACTGAGTGGATTCGGACTCAAAGAGCCCCCTCTATAGGACAGACTAGAACTGCTCTTTGGGGTTTCTAAGACTGTAAACCTTTATGAGAGCAAACAGTTTCATCTTTCTCCTGAGTAACTGTTGGCTTGCTTGGATTTGAACTGCTGACCTTAAAGTTAGCAGCCCAATGCTTAGTCCCCAGTGCTACTTTGTTGTTAAGTGCTATTGAGTCAATGCTGACCCATAGCGACCCAGTATAGGGTTTCCAAGGAGCAGCTGGTGAACCTGAACCACCGACTTTGCAGTTCGAATGACTTTGCGGTCTGACGCATTAGCCCACAGCGCCTCACCAGTGCTACTTGGGCTTCTTAAAAAGAAGAAACAAAACAAAACAAAAGAACCCAACCCACTACCGTTTAGTGCATTCCAACTCATTGACCCTAATTAGGGTTTCTGAGGCTGTAAGTCTTTACATGAACAGAAAGCCTCATCTTTCTCCTGCAGAGAAGGAATTGTGTTGGAAAATCTGCGTAGGGGATAGGAATGGTTACATGATAAAATTCGGCAAGACCAATGACTTATTCATCAGAAAGACTTCTTTCATAAACACAAATGATGCTTATTTAAGTAGACCTCACTGGATGAGTTTTACCATGTCATGGATTGAATTGTTGTTGTTAAGTTGAGTCAGATCTGACCCATAGCGGCCCTATAGAGGGTTTCCAAGGAGTGACTGGTGAGCTTGAACCACTGACCTTGCAGTTCAAACGGCTTTGCAGTCTGGCACATTAACCCACAGCACCACACATTAGGGCCCCACAAAATAAGTGTCAGGGCTATGATTCTCAGTATATTGGCCTTTATGAGATGATCCCCCATGATGTGATCTGATGAGATAAACCAGTAAACGGATTAAAGTGTGTGGCGCTGTGGGCTAATGTACTGGACTGCGAGGTTGGTTTGAACCACATGGTGGGAGGTTCAGGCTCACCAGTTGCTCCTTGAAAACCTTCTACACAGGGTCAGTAAGGGTCAGAACTGACTCCACAGCACTTAACAACAACAACATCCTTATTCGGATCACAACCCTGATCTGATTTGAGAGAGATTCCCAAGGGTGTGGCATGCAACACTTTTGATCTTGCAGGAGAGAGAAGTGAGTAGAGAGAGGAAATCTACCACTATCAAAAAGAACTAGGAGTGGAGTGCATCCTTTAGACCTGGGCTCCATGTACCGTGAAGTTCCTAGATCCAAAGGAAGACTGAGGTCAAGACCCATGGGGATCTTCAAGGAACGCTGGGCCTACAGATGCTAAAAGGAGACAAGAATATTTTTCCAGAGCTGGTGTTCTGGACTCAAAATTCTATCCTCTCAAATTGAGAGAATAAATTTCTGTTTATTAAAACCATCCACTTGTGATATTTCTGTTACAGCATCCCTAGGTGACTAAGACTCACAGGAATCATACTGACTACATCTGTGAAAGAGATGATGGAGAATAGCAATACTGTCAATCAAAATAAAGCCAGGGCCAGCTATGGAATGCCTCATCAATCGCTTATATGAAAGTTTCCGTTGGAGCTAAAGAAAGACAAAATAAATTCACGAGAGCCAAAGTACGACCTTGAATACATCCGGCCTGCTGACAGAGATGATCTCAAGAATAGATTTGACACACTAAAAACAAATGGCCAAGGATCAGAAGAGCTATAAAATGGTATCAAGGACATTATACATGTCAAAAGTAAGAGGTCATTAATAAGATAGGAAAGAAGGAAAAGACCAAAATAGATGTCAGAAGAGATTCTGAAACTTGTTCTTAAAGTGAACAGACAAAATGATGATGTAAGAGAACTAAACACAACATTCCAAAGGACAGCTCGAGAAGACCAGAGAAAGAATTATAATTAAAGATGCAAAGATCTGGAATTAGAAAACCAAAAAGGAAATCCAAATCACCATGCAAGAACTGAAAAAAAATCTCAAGTTGCAATACTGAAGGATTATAGCAAAAAAATTGAATGAAGCAGGAAGCATTAAAATAAATAAATAAGATGGTATGAAGGAATAGTAAGAGTCACTGTACCAAAAAAGAATCAATCATTGCCTGCTTTTGCATATGGTCTAGGGCTGATGGTACTGAAGGATGTTAAAGCAACACTAAAGACATTGATGAAAAGTAATTTTCCGGGAAATGATGAAATACCAAGTGAGATATTTTAATAAACAGATGCAATACTGGCAGTAATTTACTCATCTATGTTAAGAAATTTGGAAGACAGCTACCTCACTAACCGACTGGAAGAGATCCATATTCATTTCCATTCCAAATTAAAACAGAATATGGAAATTAGTGAACAGTGTCATCTGTATAGTTCCTCTACTAGTCAAAAGATTTGTGCTTCGAACCCACTGCTTCTAAAAGGTCACAGCCTTGAAAACCCTATGGAACGGTTCTACTCTGTATGTGTTGTTATTGTTGTTTTGTGCCGTTGAGTCAGTTCCAACTCATAGTGAACCTTTCTAGGGTTTCTGAGGAGCTGCCGGTGGATTTGAATTGCCAACCTTGTGGTCGAAACTAACCTTGCAGTTTAGTGCATTATCATATGGGTCGCTATTTGTCAGAAAAGAGTGGTTGGTGGTGGTTATGTGCCGTGGAGGTGGTTCAGACTCATAGAGACCCTGTACAGGGTTTCTGAGACTGTAAATCTTTACGGGAGCAGAAAGCCTCATCTTTCTCCCACTGAACAGCTGGTAGTTTCGAACTATTGACCTTGCAGTTCACAGCCTGATTCGTAACAACTACGCTACCAGAGCTCCTTGTCAGAGACAGAAAGGAGTAGACAGCAACTAATATTGCCACTATAATCAGTATTCTTACATACTAACAATGTTTTGCTCAAGATAAATGATTTAAAAAACAGGTACAGCCATACCTCACTTAGGAACTACCAGAAGTCCAAACCTGATTCAGAAGTGGACCATCAACAGATGGATCTTGGCTGAATGCAAAGAATTCCATATAGATGTTTACCAGATAGATGTTTGTCACCTATGCAAATACATTCCACTGTGTGGATCATAACAAACTCTGAATAACGTTATCAAGAATGGGAATTTCAGAACACTTACTGTGCTTATGTCAGAATGGGGTCTTAAAAGCTATGTTGTTAAGTGCCATCGAGTTGGTTCTCATAGTGACCCTACGCACTATAACAACAGAATGAAATACTGCCCAGTCCGGCACCATCCTGACAAATGTTGTTTTGTTTGAGCCCACTGTTGATGCCACCGTGTCAATCCATATCATTGGTGGCCTTCTTCTTTTTCAATGGCCCTCCACGTTACCAAGCATAATGTCCTTCTCCAGGGACTGGTCATTCCTGACAATACATCCAAATTGTAAGAGATGAATTCTCACCATCCTTGATTCTAAGGAGCAATCTGGCTGTACTCCTTCGAAAACGGAATTGTTTGGTAGTCAATGGTACTTTCAATACTCTTTGCCAACAACATAAAGTCTTTAAAAACTTGTTGGCAGCCATCCAAGATACAACTATCGGTCTTTGTCTGGAACAAAAGAAAAAGAAGAAAACCCAACAGATAGAGAAGGAACTAGACTACAGAAATTATTGACTATATGAACCACACACAGTCGTCTCCACCTTGAGACCAGAACTAGTTGGTACCCAGCTTCACTACTGAATTTTCTTACCAGGAACACAAAAGATAAATCCTGATAAAAAAGGGATAAAAATGTGGAACAGAACTTCAAACGCTTAAAGAATCTAGACTTACAGGATCTACTGAGTTCTTGAGCATATGGCCCCAAATTGTTCTTCAGACCTTGAATGGAAATTAGCCTCTGAAGACACCTTTAAACTAAGTAACAGTTTAATCCAAAGAGTAAAAATTGAAAGCCTTCAAGTAAAGAATGTGTTCCTTGTTGTTATTGTTGTTAAGTGCTGTCAAGTCAGTTCTGACTCACAGCGGTCCTGTCTAGGGTTTCTGAGAAGCAACTGGTGAGATTGAATCTTTGACCTTGTGATTCAAACCGACCTTGTGGTCCAGTGCTTTATCTTGTAAAACTTATATATATTTTTGGCAATAGATTTTATTATACAAGACCAAAGGGTCAACAACTATTTTAAAGCATAGATGAGAAGTTGGGGGTGGGGGGGCAGAAGATTAAGTAAAGGGAAATAAAACAACTAGAACAGAAATAACGAAAATGTTGACGTAATATGAAATATGTAACCAATGCCGCTGACTATTATGTATACCCCTTGTCATCAGTCAGTTCCTCAGGTAGGGACCCTGTGTTGTTGTTTTTAAGTGCCATGGAGTCCGTTCCAACCCATAGCAACCCTGTATAGAGTTTCTGGAGAGCGGCTGGTGAGCTTGAACCACAGACCTTGAAGTTCAAACGACTTTGCGTTAACCCACAGAGCCACAGAAGCTGAAATGAACGTGGTGTATGCTTTCGCTAAAATTTAAATAAAATAGATTACATACAAGAAAGCCCTGTGATACAGTTATACTCCGCCGCATGGGATAGTTAAGAATCAGAATGGACTCCGAAACACCTAACAAAAATAGTAAGACTGGATCCTTGAACCAGCCCAGAGAAAAAGGGCAGAGGGAGTGGACTACAGAGAGTGGACTACACTTCCCAGAAATCTGCACGCCTCAGCGCCCCCGCCTATTGGCTGCTTCGGCCCCGCCCCCACACCGCCCCTGCCGGAATGACCCTGGCTACTGAGTCCCGGGACAGGGTGCTCCAGAAACCGAAGGCTCGCCCTGGGTTAGCTGTCTAAATGGCGATGCGGCCTGTGTCCTGGATGCTGCGGAGGGTCCTGAGGACCAGCACCCGGAATTGTAGCTCGGGGGCTCCGGTGACGCAGCCCCGTCCCGGAGAGTCCTCCCAACCTGCCGCGGAGGTGAGCCCACTGCAACCACAGCTTCCCGGGAGGGGGGCACTGGGGCATGCTGCCCCTTACTTTGAGAAGCACCCCGGCCTGCCCTTGGCGGCCGGCTCTTTGGGAGGTGCAGTGGGGGTAGAATGATGGGCTCTTAAAGCTGTCTAGTGTCATCTGCTAGCTACCCAGCGGAAGGGGCTTCCTGCCCACCCAGTTGTGCACCCTCCTTCCAGGTGTGTCTGCCAGAAATGCTCTGGACTTTGGATTCAGTGAGACGTGTTATTGGTATCCCCTTCAGCCCCGCCCGCCCTACACTCACCTCTTCCTTAAACCCTTTCCTTCCTGTCCCCTGAGTGGAGGCTGTTTGTGTGTGATCAGGTGCCACACACTGCTTCACAGGGTAACACTAACTAAAAGTGTCACCTGGAGGCCACCAACTGTCAGTAGTCACAGAGCTCTGTGGTCCGCTCTTCAGGGACTCTGTTTTGTCTTCATTTCCTCGGGGGAGGGTTCAGTCTCAATCTGGAATGGAACAGAGCAGGACCTGTGTGCTTTCAGTTTCGGGATTCTAGGATATCATTATGTTTTGGGGTCCAGCTTACTCAGCCCTTTTCAGAGTGATGACTGTTGACACATTTTGAATGTGTTGTTCTTTTGCCCTTGTGCTCAGGGAATAATTTTGGAGAGAAGCATCTCATTTTTACATTTGGGGAAACTTTTTATGGCCTGTCTGGTTGGTGTTTTGTCATCTCCCAGGAAGACTAGACTTCATGTTCTTAGAGCCATCAAATCATCATCTTTCACTCCCGCCCCACATTGTTCAAGAAGGAGAGCTTCAGCTAACTTGCTTTCCATAAGCCCCTCTGGAAGCCTCAGATAAGCAGGTAACTTTGATGGGAAATGGAAGTTTTGTTTTTCTCCCAGTACCTTATCCCTGGTGGCATAATGAGTTACACACTGAGCTAATTACCAGGTCAACCTTTCAAATCCACCAGCTATTCCAGAGGAGAAAGATGAGGTTTTCTGCTCCCACAAAGAGTTGGAACCAACTCAAGGACACACTACCACCAACCACCACCTTTGAACTCTGACCTTCTTTGAGGGAATCATGATGAGATTGATGAGATGTCTTTAAGGAATTCAAGAAGAAAACAAACTAGACATCTCTCCCTTTCCCCTCATTTATTTTGTACCGTTCATGAGAGGACCTCTATGTTAGCGGTTTCTTGCATGGTAGCATTTAGTCCTCACAGTAAAACCCTGCAAGGTAAGTTGTTGTTAGTTGCCAATAAGTAGATTCTGAGGTTTTAAAGACTGTGATCTTTCCAAAGCAGATCACCAGGCACCTCTGAGTGGGTCTGAACAGCCAACCCTTTGGCTAATGTTATTGTGTCCTGTCCAGTCGGTTCCTAATCACAACTGTACCATATAGAGTTTCTGTGAGTGGTTGGTGGGTTTACTTCTTGGTGGGTTGGTGGGTTTAAAAACCTTTCCATTAGTAGCTCAGTGCTTACCCTACAGGGCCACACCAGGGCTTAATAATCAGATGCTTAATCATCGCAGGGACTGTGGTATAGGTAAAGTCTGTATTTTTGTATGGAAACATTGAGGCTTCATCAAAGATAAGTACCTTCCCGTGGGAAAATCCAAGAGGCTGTTCCTCCCCTTTCCGTTGCACTGTGAGACAAGTTCACCTACGCTGGGTGAGAACATAGACTCTGAGCAGAATCCCAGCTCCAGTGCTCACTAGGTGTGCCAACCTGAGCAAGTCCCTTAGCTTCTCAGTACCTTCACTTTTCTCATCTGTAAAAAGGGAACAGTGGTGTCTGTTTTTACTCCTAAGATGACTATAGGGTTAAAAGCACTCACTAGATGTAGAGTACTTAGAACAAACTCGGCACTGTGTTATGTAAATATCACTTGTAATTGTTATTATCTTTGTCATCATTGGCACGTGTAGTGACCTATTGGTTCTCTTCCACCTGGACAGTCAGGGCAGTCATTTAATCACATTCCCTCATTCCCCTCTACCCCACACTCAGTTGGGTTATCCTCAGGAGATGGGTGAATGCTGGATGCTCCCCTGGCTTTCTAGGTATTTGCTCACAGCTCTAAACACAGCAGTGGAGTCATGTAGATTTGTTTCATTGTTTCTAATCCATCTTGGGGTGTGGGGAGGACGTGCAGTAGCAACCAGAGCAATGGCCCGTGAGCCTCTAGTTTTCATTCTCCGTCTGCCTCCCCTATCATCTGGCTCCTGGGCTCACTTTCCTCTTTCCATGGCTGTAAAGCCTGAGAGTTGGATCAACCCGTCTTTTACACAGTAAGGTAGGATGCAGAATTCAGTCTTTAATAGAAACCTCAGAGGTGAGGTGAGTTCCAAGATATGTGAGGGGGCTTCAAAAAGTTAATGGGAAGATCCCATTATCTTTCAATTCCATTTTTCTTTGCCTTTTGAAGTCCCCTTATGTATATCCAGAAGCCTGGTGTGACTCTGTGGATTAATGCACTGGACTTCAAGGTCAGTTTGACCCACAAGGTCAATGGTTCAAGCTTACCAGCCACTCCTCCAAAACCCTATATAGGGTTGCTGTGGATCAGAACTGACTCAATGGTACTTAACAACATTACACACACACACACACACACACACACACACACACACAGAGAGAGAGAGAGAGAGAGAGAGAGAAAGCTTGCACGGGCTCCCGGCTAGACCCTCTTCTCCATTGCCAGATGGAGATGAGAGGTGCTTGGAGAGGCAGACTGGAAAGCCACTGGGTGTGAGTGTGAGGATGTGGTGTGAGAGAGTGAGGTATGGAGTGAGAAGGAGGCCTGAGGCTAAATCTAAGAAGAGACCCAACAGCTTTCACAGGTAGAAAGGGGAGGTGATGGTGTGTGGCTAAGTGGGGAGGTAGGTAGAGGAGACGCAGCCATTTGGTGTGGCCTCGACAATCTGTGGGATCTATCCCAGCTAGGGAACACGTGTCTCTTTTCCTTTCTCTCAGGTTCATGCAGGAGGCCTCTAGGGCTGGCCTGAGGCTCAGGACCTACAGGGGCAGGGGAGGAGGCAGTTCTGGAAAAGGCAAAGACACCCAGGAGCTCCAGAGCCGCTGGAGTGGCGGTTTATAGGAAGGAAGCGAGTATGAAAGAAGGCAGGAGAAGGACAGCCACAGCCTGGCCTGGGGGTGCCACCTGGAGGGAAAGGAGATTTGTCAGGAGGATCATCTTGATTTCTAGTCCTCATATTTCCTCACAGTTATGTGACTCTCTTGGTCAGGAACCACTTTCATATAACTTAGAGTCAGATTCTCTGAGAGGGAAGAAGAGCCAGGCCTGGGGCTCAGTACTTGGCTGTGTCTACTTATTTAATATTGATTAACTTTATTTGTGGGCCCCTGGTATACATCATTCCCAAATTACAGGTCATGCAGAGTGTTGATATGTGAGTTTGGAATGCAAACTTTTTCTCGTGAATAACTCTGCTGCTCTGTCTTGACCTTAGAGCTATTTGGGAACTGGCCTTTCTCAATCAAACCAAATGCCCAAGGTTAGTGACTACTATGGGAAGGTCCTTTAAGGGGAGAGCTCCTCCCTTACCTAATGCAATTATATCACCTATCCTGACTCTACTCAATCTGCGTTGGGTAGACAAGAGTTTATTTTCTTCTCATTGCTATTGAGTCAGCTCATGGTGACCCATGTGTGTTAGAACTGTGCTCCCCAGGATTTTCAATGGCTGATTTTTCAGAGCAGAGCACCAGGACTTTCTTCTAAGATACCTCTAAGTAGATTCAAACCTCCAACCTTCTTAGCAGCCGAGATTTGCATCACCCAGGGACTTCAGACAAAAAACAACCAGTAGCACGACCACCAATAACTAGGATCTGATTTCTAGTAATAGTACTCATGGCCCAGACCCCTAGTAGTTTTGCTTTAGGTGGTGTGACAGCCAGCCTGAAGCCCTTAGCCCTAAACCATCTGCCATTGAGTACAGTTAGAAGGTTGAGACCTTTCAGGCCTGAATTGGCATATTGTTCACAGCACACACAGACAGTGCTCTTCCACAAATATGTCTAATCTTCAAAAAGCCCATGGACAAATGGAATTCAAAGAGAATGCAACCTGCCTGGGAAGACAGACAACCAGAATGCTCTTTAGGCATGAGGATGTACTTTGAACAAATTATCAGGAGGGCCCAGTCCCTGGAGGAGGGCATCCTGCTTGGAAAAGAGGAGATTGACACAGTGACATCAACAATGGACTGAAACATGACGACAATTGTGAGGATGTCACAGGGCTAGCCAGTGTTTCCTTCTGCTGTCTTTATAGTTCTCACTATGAGTTGGAACCAACTCGACGGCGCCTAACAGCAACAACAGAATTTTTCTACCAACATTGACAAGTCTCTTCATTTATATCTTTGAGTTATGTGAAGAAAATTGCGATGAATGCTCATTGAGTACCTGCTGTGTGGCAAGCACTGTATTCTCTCATTCACTCCTCCTGTTGTTGTTGTTGTTATGTGCCGTGGAGTCGGTTCTGACTCATGGTGACCCTGTACAGGGTTTCCGAGGCTGTAAATCTTTATGGGAGCAGAAAGCCTCATCTTTCTCCCGTGGAACAGCTGTGGTTCGCAGCCTGATTCGTAACCACTACACCAGTTGAATTAGTATGATTATCCCCATGGTGTGGTGCTGCAGGTTAAAGCACTGGACTCCAAGGTCAGTTTGAAACACAGGGCTTGTGGTTCAAACTCACTATCCGCTCCATGGAAACCCTATACAGGGGTCACTATGAGTTGAAACCAACTTGATGGCACTTAACAACACTCCCATTTTACAGATGTTTAGGTGACTTGCTCCTAAGGCTGTCAGTTACCGAGCCCGGCTTCTCCAAAGTCGGTACTTTGAATGGCAACAGCTGCCCCTGGATTAAAATAACACCTGATACTGGTTCCAGTAGGCACACGGCTCTTAGCATAGTAGGAATCTGAAGTACCTAAGAAACATTAACAATAATAGCAACATCTGGACCCTATCCCAGAGCAATTGAGGAAGGACCCTCACACCACTGCTTCTAAACTTCGTCAGGTGCTTTGAATGTGCAGCTAGGGTTGAGAACCACTATTCTAGGCTAAATATGGACAGTGGCGAGTAGCTCAGAATTGAATGCTCACCACAGTGTCACCAAGTGTTGCACACCTTGCCTGTCTGTTTGGCTTGGAGGTAGACCTATTTGTTCACTTGGCACAGGGGCTTAACACCTACCAACATACTATGCTAGCTACTGGGGATACCGAGTCAGGCAGGAAGGCTGTCCCCCAGATGGGCAGAGAGACAGCTAAGGGTGCGGGTTCCTATTACTTCAGACACATCCCACCCAGCCATTCCTGGGTGAGAGAGGTCCTTGTCCATTCTGCCTGGTAGCACCCTCTGGCTCTTTCCATTGCTACTGATACACTTTTTTCTTCGGGGAGGCATTTAAAAGGAGCCCTGGTGGCATAAACAGTTAAGTGCTTAACTGCTACTAACTGAAAGGTTGGCGGTTTGAGCCCATACAGTGACCCCACTGGAGAAAAACCAGGCACTGTGCTATGGTAAAGACCCCAGCTCTGTGGTTGGGCAGAGGGTCTTTACAGGAACAGATTGGGACCCCATGGACAGTTCTTCAGGTCAGGCACCTAACAAAAATAAAGAGGATTTGAAGGACAGGAAAGATAAATTGGGAGAGGGAAAGTATTAGGATGCCCAGTGATGGAGAGGAGAAGAGGAGAAGGGATTGGAAGAACGAAGCTTATGAATCTCCAGGTAGTGCAATAGTCTGTCCCGTTTAGCTGGGTGAAGGTGTGGCACCGGGAGTCCAGAGTCTGACTGAACCTCGATAAGGTTACTTGGGATCTCAAAAGTGAAAGCCAGTCGGCCCCTGTCATGGCCAGAAGCAGCCTGCCGTTGTCAGTGGCCTCGTCATCACATAGCTTGCTCTCTGCCTTCTGCTGAATCATACTCCTTGGTCTTCTTGCCAGCTCCAAATTCCTGGACTTAGTGGAGCTGCTCCCTCAGCCCGCCCACCTCAGTCTGTTAAGATTGGTGTGATGTGGGGTCTCAACTGCGTAACAGATCACTGAAGTGCTGACAGAGACAAGGGTGCACCTGGGCCCTGAATCCAGATTCCCAGGAATCCGATCTCTTGGATTCTAGTTGGCAATGGGAATCTTGATTATGGAGTGCCCCCTGCTCCACCCCTCAGTGCTACCAGTGAGCCTGACTTGTTCATAGTGACTCTGGAGACAGGGAGGAAGTGGCTGCAGACTGCAGTTCGGAGAAGTACCCGCTGCTTACTTGCCTTGGCAGCTGGCCTGGGGGTGGGTCAGGGCAAGTTTTAATGGACCCAGAAAAATCATGGAAGCAGTTTTTGTTTCTCACCATCCTCTTACCCCAGACCCCGACCCCCTTCTCAAATCCCTTGTATTTTCTGAGTGAATCTGTGAGTCTGAACCCTGCGCACAGTAGACTCGCCTGAGGAGATGGGAAAACAGGATTGCCTAAACTCCAGCCCCAGAGATTCCCAATTCAATCCGTTCCAGTGCGGTTTTTCTAATCCAACTCCCAGATGGTTCTAACATCAGCCAAGGTTGACGAGCTCACTGAGGTAAATGCTTCTCCCTCCTGGAGTGTTGTTGTTGTTGTTGTTAGGTGCCGTCCTGTCAGTTCTGAGGCTGTAAATCTTTAGGGGGTGAGGGGGGGGGGCGAGTAGAAAGCTTCATCTTTCTCCTGTGGTATGACAGGGGGATTTGAACTGTTGACTTTGTGATTAGTAGTGCAGTGCTGACCCTAGAGCACCTTTCTATTCACCCAGGTTAATAATATGGGTGTGGTGCTGTAGGATAAGCACTGGATTGCTAACTTGCAAGGTTGGCAGTTCAAACCTACCAGTTACTCAGAAATCCTAAACAAGAGTAGTTATGAGTCGGGACTGACTTAATGGCACTTAACAATAACAACAACAAAAACTCTCTAGTAGTTCATTTTTGGGGTTTACTATGAATGATATTTGTCTTAGTTATTTAGTGGTGTTGTTCTGTCATTGTGTTGGTTCCAACTCCTAGCAACACTGTATAAGGTTTGAACCGCCAACCTTGTGGTTAGCAGCCCAGTGCTTCTCCTACAGCACCATGCACTGTAACAAATACCATAGAAATGAATTCTCCTGGAGTGTTGGTACAGCTCATGTAATGGGCTCAGGGATTAAGGATGGCCCAGGACTGGGCAATGTTTTGTTCTGACTGGACAACACCTAACAACAACAATAAATACCAGAGCCTCCAGCTTCCAATTCTTAGGTACAGCTGGTGGAGGAACACTGGTACCATGATTTTGTTCTAAGAATTCTAGAGACGTGACCTCTCCCCACCCCTCAGATTCCTTGTGTAATTAGGGGAAGGAGTTCAGAATTTGGAATCAGAAGACCTGGATTTGAACGTTGGTTCTGCCAAGGGTGTTCTTAGTTATAATAATCACCTAATGGGGTGGAGCGTGGGAATGAAAGAAGAAAACATTCTTTGGAAACTTTGTAAGAGGATTTACAAAGGTTGCTTCTCTGGAGCAATTATCCCATCAACATCTGTGGAGACCCAAGGTGATACTTTTAAGGGAGAGAGACATCAAATGTGGCAAAGGGTAAGGCTGGCTGCCTCTTTTCTTTCCCCCGGTTGGGTTTGGATGGAGCTTGGTGCCTCCAGTAGTCTACTCCCCTTTAGGCCCCCAACAGTGGGTGTATAATAATTCTTACTTGCACAAGGCAGGGTAAAGAGTAAAGGTTGAAAAGCAGTGGACTACTAGCCAAAAGATTGGCAGTTTGAACTCATTCAGAGGCACCTAGGAAGACAGACTGAGCAGTGCTACTACCTTGGAAACCCTGTAGACCATAGTTTTATTCTGCACACATACGGTCCCCTGGAGCTGAAAGCAACTCAGTGACAAACAGCGTCTCTCTTGGTGTTGGGTGGTCCCTCTGGCCCTCCACTCCTCCCTTCCTTGGGACTGGGTTGTTACTGTCTTTCTTCTGGGGTCTCCCTGGTTGTGTTGTCTTGTCCCCAGAGCCTTCGGAACAAAGGGAACCGTCTACAGTACTGTCCTCCCCTAGGTGCTCCGTTCCTCCGAGCTGTGGGGACCCCAGCCAGCAGGGCTGTAGCTTGTGTGATCCCCCCAACACCCCCCCACCCACCCCCCAGCTAACAGTTGTGTTTTGAGTTCCTTCTGTCCACCAGTTAGAATGGGAAGGCACTTGGGAGGCAAGGTGGAGAGGGGCTCATCCTTAGCAGGCAGAGGCAGCAGTGTGGCCTGAACCACAGTTCCTCTCAAGTCTCCTATTCTTTACTGGCCTTCCCTTTACTGGCCATACCTTCCCTTTACTGGCCAAGCTCCTACGTGCTTGCCAGCTTGACACGGTTGCCTACGTGCTTGCCAGCTTGACACGGTTGCCTACGTGCTTGCCAGCTTGACACGGTTGCCACATTTTCTCCCAGTGACCCTGTCCAAGAGATACCGGAAATGGTTGTTTGTTCCTGGACAGGTTTCCTGGAAGGAGGGGGTAGGCAGTAAGATGGTGACAGGGAAGAAGACGGCACCTGGGCAGGGATCATTGCCTACTCCGCTGCTCACTGTGCTGCCCAGCTAGTGGTACCCTGAGCTAAGTGTGCTTCTGCTGAGACCTCTTTTTCCAGTGTGTGAATGAGGATGATCCTCACACCCCCTGGATGGTGGGGTCCAAATGTGTGGCAATGTGAGGCGTGCCGGACGAATGTCAGAGATGAAGATTCACTTCGTCCCACGTAGGTTGTCCTTGATCCTCCCCCGAGGCTGGGAGCTGGGGCCCAAGCTCTCTTCTCTACCTTGTCCTCACAGGAGCTGTCCAGGCGAAGAAAGTTCCTGAGAGAGCACACTGCCCCCTTCTCTGCCTTCCTCACCGACAGCTTTGGCCGCCAACACAGCTACCTGCGAATCTCCCTCACAGAGAAGTGCAACCTCAGATGTGAGTCTCCTGCTTCCATTCTCTCTGAGCTCCCGTAGTCATGTGTTTGCACCACCTTGCAGCTGCTGAGCCCCCAGTGAAAGCAGCTTCTGGAATCTCCTAGTAATCCTCTTCTGTCCTCCCTGATTTCTCTTTCTGACTTCTCCATCCACTTCTCCTGGCCTAGCAGGCCAGGCAGCATTCAGGGTCCAGAGAGGAGTCAGTGTTGGGTTTTACAATTCTGGAAGTTTGGTTCTACTGGAGATAAGGTTTGAGAACAGAAAAGCTTGTTGGGTTGAGGATCAGGGGTGGGCCCCATCTGTGTTCAGGGTTCTTTCCTCCCTTCTTCCCCTGCGTTATTTCTTTGCAGTTCTCAAAGTTCAGGATGGGGGTGGGTGTGCACTGTAAACATGTAAAATACACAGCGGTGCCCATGGCCAACCCTGCCCACTTTACCTCTCATGAGCCAGTTAGTGGGGACTGACTGATACAAAGAATGAGTACCCATTTCACAATCCCATGGGGAATATTATAGGGACTTTATACATTGGGAGATAGGGGGTTCTTTCGAAGTTTTGATCTTCTTTCCTGCCTTTCTGTCTGTCTTTCTGATTTTCTCTTTCTTTTTTTTTTTTTTGTCATTATAGCTTACACAAAGAAGTGAATTAGTCCAATAAATGCATGCATATGTGTGCATATGATAAGTTGTTTGGTCAAATAATATTTACCTTTCCTACATGTGGTATATTCTGATATATTTACCTATTTTGTTCTTTCTTTTCTTTCTTTAAAAACCCAGTTTTGGATCCAGTTCCCTAATTTGATTCCATAACCCTCAAGCAGATCTTGACCCAATCCTTGATCAAATTGTGCTCCAGGAATTAGTGATGTAATAGATGGCATCCCACCCTGTCACCACCAGCCCCGGCTCAACTAATCTGCTCCATTTTGCTACTTCACAAATAGTGCCTCAGTGTTCCTATCTATAAAGTGGGACAGATGATGGCTAGAATTGAGGACAGCGGTAGCTCTAGAGGAGGGCAGGTTTTATCAGAGCAGTGAGAACTCCCCAGCCTCTCTCACCTCGTGGCACACATAGAGGGTGGTGATATTTATATGCCAAAACCAAATATGCCAAAAAAGATGAGTGCTGCCAAGGGACATCCCTGTACCTCAGGTCAGTCAGTGCTCAGAGTCTACTTTATCCTCTGGACCCTAGACCAGCAGTTCCACCACTGAGGGATATTAAGCCCAAATGGAGAGGGGAGAGTTAAGGTTTGAAAGCTGAGAAAGTGAGCCCCTGCTGGAATCTGGACAGGGGTTGCGCTCTGCCCTGCTCTGAGCCCCAGAGCTGGGGAGGTCTCTGCTCCTTGTCTAGGTGGAGCTCAGGGACGCTTTGGGCCTGAGTGTAGTGGTGGCATTGCAGAGCTCACTGCTGTGCCCATTTCCCACTGCATGACCCCTCCCATGACCCCAGGTCAATACTGCATGCCCGAGGAGGGGGTCCCACTGACCCCCAAGGCTGACCTGCTGACAGCTGAGGAGGTCCTGGCCCTCGCACGGCTCTTCGTGAAAGAAGGAGTGGACAAGATCCGGCTCACAGGTGGCGAGCCACTCATCCGTCCTGACGTTGTGGACATTGTGGGTGAGTTCTGACCTAAGGTGTCACCTCTTCTCCCTACATCTGCTTCATGTGGACATGATGGTGTTGGGGAGGAACCAAGTGCTTCCTGGAAACCTGAGAACTTATCAGAACCTTTACTGATGGTTGTCTGGTGAGCTGCCCACCTCCACTGGTGCCATGCATTGACATTTGCTCCCCAGGGACCTGAAATTGCCTCCTAGCTGGTCTCCCTACGCCCTCCGGTTACCTTTCTAGAGCTTTTTCTCAAAGTGATCCTATTAAAAATGTGAGTCAGAGCAGGTCATACCAACATTGGTAACGGAAGCTTATGTTCATTTAGAGCTCACGGGGTCCCTTGTTAATGTGAGCTTCTTTAATCCTATAACAATCCTCTGAGACTGAACCAAACCCACTGCCACCCAGGCGATTCTAATTCACAGTGACCCTACGGGACAGGTAGAACCAAAGCTCTAATTCTTTACACAGCAGAGTGCTACAACTGTCTCCCCTGAAGCCGCTGGTGGGTTCAAACCACCAACTTTGTGGTTAGTATCCCAATACTGAGTCCACTCCTTGTTAGATCCTGAATAGTCAGCTCCAGCTCATAGCTCGACACCATCCTCACAGTTGTTAGGGTTCAACCCATTGTTGCAGCTATTGTGTTAGTCCATCACTTCCAGGTATGGCTCTTTGTCGCTGACCCTCCACTTTACCAAGCATGATGTCCTTTTCCAGAAATGGATTCCTCCTAATAATGTGTCCAAAGGACATGAGACAATCTTCACTTCTAAGGAGAATCTGGCTGTGTTTCTTCCAGGACAGATTGGTTTGTTCTTCTGGCAGTCCATGGTACTTTCAATATTCTTCACTAACACCAGGATTCAAATGCGTCCGTTCTTCCCCAGTCTTCCTTATTCATTGTCCAGCTTTCACATGCATGGAGGTGATTGAAAATATCATGGCTTGAGTCAGGCGCACCTTGGTCCTCAAAGTGATATCTTTGCTCTCAAACACTTTAAAGCCATCTTTTGTAGTAAATTTGAACTATGTAATAAGTAATTTGAGTTTTTCTCTACTGCTTCCATGAGCATTGATTGTGGACCCAAGTAAAATGAAATCCTTGACAACCTCAAGCTTTTCTCCATTTATCATGATGTCGTTTATTGGCCCAGTTGTGAGGATTTTTGTTTTCTTTGTATTGAGGTGCAATCCATACTGAAGGTTGTATTCTTGGAACCTCATCAGCAAGTACTTCCAGTCCTCTTTGCTTTAAGCAAATGAGATTGTGTTATCTGCATATCACAGGTTGTTAATGAGCCTTCCTTCAATCTTGACACCATGTTCTTCCTCTCAGAATGTTTGTTTAGCATACGGAGTGAATAAGAATTGTGAAAGGATATAACCCTGACATATGCCTTTGCTGAGTTTGAACCACACAGATCCCCTTGATCTGTTGGAACAACTGCCTCATGTTCTTTGTACCGGTTCCTCATGAGCACAATTAAGTGTTCTGGAATTCCCATTCTTCACAATGTTATCTGTAGTTTGTTATGATCCGCACAGTCAAATGGCTTTGCACAGTCAATAAAACACAAGTAAACATCATGTTTGGTAAGGTGGAGGATCAGAGAAAAAGAGGAGGACCCCTAGCAAAATGGACTGGCAAAGTGGCAGCATCAATGGGCTCAAGAGTGGCAACAATTGTGAGGTTGGCCCAGGATCGTGCTGTGTTTTGTTCTGTTGTGCATAGGGTTGCTGTGAGTTGGTACTGACTCCATGGCACCTAACAACAACAATAAAACATCTTTTTGATATTGTCTCCTTTCAGCCAAGCTCCATCTGATATTAGCGATAATATCCCTCATTCCATGTCCTCTTCTGAACCCAGCGTGAATTGCTGGAAACTTCCTGTTGATGTGCTCCTGCAGCAGTTTTTGAATTATCTTCAGCAAAAATTGCATGTGATGTTAATGATATTGTTTGGCAATGTCCTCATTCTGTTTCCCTTCTTTGGAATGGGCACAAATATGGATCTCTTCCAAGGTAGCTGTCTTCCAGATTTCCTGGCATAGATGAGTGAGTGCATGCCTCCAGTGCTGCATGAGTTTGTTGAAACATTTCCATTGGTGTTCTGTCAGTTTCTGGAGCCTTGTTTTTCACTAACTCCTTCAGTGAAAATGGGACATTTTCCTTCAATACCATTGGCTCTTGATCATATGCTCCTCTAATGGTTGAATGTTGACCCATGCTTTTTGGTATAGCAAAATGAAGTCTTTGTTACTCCATTTTCTTTTGAAACTTCCTATATCATCTAGTATTTTGCCTGAAGAACCATTCAATATTGCAAGTCCAGACTTGAATTTTTCTTTTCAGTTCTTTCAGCTTGAGAAATGCTGAACATGTTCTTTTCCCTTTTGATTTTCTAGCTCTAGGTCTTTGCAAATTTCATGATAATACTTTGACTTTGCTCTCTTGAACTGCCCTTTGAAATTTTCCGGTCAGCATTTCTCCCTTTGAGTTAGCTACTCTACATGCAGGAGTACGTTCTGCAGTCTTTTCTGACATCCACTTTGGCCTTTTCTTTCCTTCCTGTCTTTTTAATGACATTTTGCTTTCTTCATGTTGGTATTCTGGATGCCATTTCACACCACCTCTGGTCTTTAGTCATTAGTGTCTAATGCATCAAATCGGTTCTTGAGATAGTCTCCAAATTCAGGTGGGATATACTCAAGATGGAGTCCTGGTGTGGCTCTATAGCATAAACACTGGAATGCTAAACCCAAGGTTGATGGTTCAAACCCACCAACTGCTCCTCAGAAATCTTATATAGCGTTGCTATGAGTCAGAACCATCTTGAAAACACTTAACAATGACAACATACTCAGGGTGGTACTTTGGCTCTGTGGACTTGTTTTAATTTTCTTCAGCTTCAGCTTGAACTTATCTATGAGCAATCGATGATCGGTTGTTCCACAGTTGGCCACTGGGCTTGTTTTGACTGATGATCCTGAGCTCCTCCATGTCTCTTCCCACAGATGTAGTCAATTTAACTCCTGTGCATTCTATCTGGCAAGGTCCACATGCATAGTTTCCTATTACATTGTGGAAAAAGAGTATTTGCAATGAATAAGTTGTTGTTTGTTGTTAGGTGCCATTGAGTTGGTACTGACTCATAGCAATCCTATGCACAGCAGATGAAACACTGCCCAGTCCTGGGCTAACCTCACAGTCATTATTCAGCCCATTGCTGCTGCCACTGCCAATCAATCTTGTTTGGGATCTTCCTCTTTTTCTCAGACCCTCCACTTTACCAAACATGATATCCTTTTCTAAGGACTGGTCCCTCTGGATAATATGTCCAAAGTATGAGAGACGAACTCTGGTCATCCTGGCTTCCAAAGAACATTCTTGCTCTATTTCTTCTAACACAGATTGGCTTGTTCTTTTGGCAATCCATGCTACTTTTAATATTCGTATCCAACACCATAATTCAAATGCATCAATTCTTCTACCATCTTCCTTATTCACTGTCCAACTTTCACATGCTTATGAGGTTATTGAAAATACCGTGGCTTGGGTCAGGCACACCTTAGTCCTCAAGCTGACATCTCTGCTCTTAAACACTCTGAAGAAGTCTTATGTAGCACATTTGCCTAATGTAGTATGTCGTTTAATTTCTTGACTGCTGTTTCCATGAGAGTTGATGGTTGAACCTAGCAAAATGATGTCTTTAACAACTTGGATTATTTCTCTATTTATATGGATGTTGTTTATTGGTCTAGTGATGAAGATTTTTTTTTTCTTTATTTTGAGATGCAACCCATACTGAAGGGTATGGTCTTTGATCTTCAGCAATAAGTATTTTAAGTCCTCTTTGCTTTCAGCAAGGAAGGTTGTATCATCTACATATCACAGGTTGTTAATGAGTCTTCCTCCAACCTAATACCACATTTTTCTTCATATAATTCAGCATCTCAGATTGCATGCTCAGCGTACAGATTGAGTATGTATGGTGAAAGAATACAACCCTGGCACACACCTTCACAAATTTTAAACCATTCAGTGTTTCCTTGTTCAAATCTCTTGGTCCATCTACAGGTTCTCATGAGCCCAATTAAGTGTTCCCAAATACCATTCTCTGCAATGTTATCCATAGATTGTGTTGATCCACACAACCAAAAGCCTTCGTGTAGTCAGTAAAGCACAAGTAAACATCTTTCTGGTCTTCTCTACTTTCAACATCAGCAACGATATCCCTCATTCTATATCCTCATCCAAATTTGGCTTGGATAGCTGGCAGTTCTCTGTCAGTGTACGTTTGCAGCCATTTTTAAATTGTCTTTAGCATAATTTTACTTGCATGAGATATTAATGATATTATCTGATGATGTCCAAATTCTGTTGGGTCACCTCTCTTTGGAATGGACACCGATATGGATCTCTTCCAGTCAGTTGGCCAGGTAACTATCTTCCAAATTTCTTGGTATAGATAAGTGACTGCCTCCAGTACTGCATCAGTTTGTTGAAAGATTTCAATTTGTATTCTATCAATTCCTGGAAACTTGTTCTGTGTGTGCCAGTGCCTTCAATGTACCTTGGATGTGTTCCTTCAACATCATTGACTGTTGATCAAATGCTACCTCTTGAAATGGTTGAACATGACCATTTCTTTTTGCTACAGTGACTCTGTATTCCTTCCATCTTTTGATTCTTTCTCCATCATTCAATATTTTACCCATAGAATCCTTCAATATTTATTGCAAGTCAAGGCTTTGATCTTTTCCTAAGTTTCCTTAGCTTGAGAAATGCTGAGCATGTTCTTTGTTTACTTTTGATTTTCTAACTTTAGGTCTTTGCACATTTTGTTTTAACATTTCACTTTGTCTTCGCTTTTTTTTACCTCCTAATTTCTTCCATTTGCTTTAGTACCTCTATGCTGGAAAGCAAGTTTCAGAGTCTCTTCTGATATCCATTCTGGCCTTTTCATTCTTTCTTGTTTTCTTAATGACCTTTTGCTTTCT